AATGTTTGAAAAATAAATAAACAATGAAAAACATCCGCCGATTTTTCTCATAAACAAACACCGGGGGATATACGGCCTAGTTATAGGTTATTTATATTTACTAAGTAAAAATCATTTTGGGTGTGTTTGTGGTATAAAAATACAATCAAAACCCAATGTAGCTCCTTAATGTTTTCAATTAATCAATAAACTAGAAACAAAAAATAAAGCCTTTTTTTTTTTTGCTTTAGATGAGTGGAGACTTGTGAAGAGGCCACCAAGGCTTTGATACCCTGCGGACCAGGATCTGATCAGAGCATTTTGTCTTTGTCCATGAGGACCCTCAGGGTATAATTAATTGATCATGTAACCTCTTAACGGCTTATGATAAGCTCAGCTTGCCATGAGTTATGTGCCATTTTCTGGTTTATGACGAGTGCACCTCATCATGTACTGCTTTGTGCCTTTTGCAAGGTTTGCAACAAGGTCAGTGAATAAAAACAGTGTGAATTATCTTTATGATAGAATAATAAATAAAAGAAACTGTTTCGTATAAGGTCTGCTTAAAAAATGTAAAGCATTAAAAGATTAATCAACAGGCGATGCTATTTTCTATTTTAAAAGAATAACAAATGTTTTCCTTGAAACTTCATCTAGATTCTGAACATCTAAGGCACTGCAAGCACAAGCTTTACAGGTGTGCTCTGCACTTTCGTGCCATATCGATGGATGGGAGCAGAGTTTATGCTTTCAAATACTATCAATAGATAAGAGAATAGCGATTCCTTCCATTGTGACGTCACTAGATCATTACTGAAAAGGCGACCTCACCAAATAAGAGCATGGAGGCACCTCAAGACAATTTAGGAGGACCAAAAAACGATGTGGAGATGAAGTTGGCATAAACAATTGTGCAAGCTGGTTGACCGTAGTAAAAGAAGCAATGCGTAAGGCATGGACAAAGATTAGAAGACAAATAAACCACAGAACACCATTTTTATCGGCACCTGTCGAGAGCATATTTACAGCCGCTAACATAATGCTCCACGGCCCTCCGCCCAAATCGACAGGTGCTAACTGATTGAACATCACTTGAAAAGCTCATCCACAAATGCAAGTGAGTTTAGCAATTGTTCTTTTGGTCTGTGTTGCTTGCATACTATATGTAAAAAGTAATATACATGGCTGGAGTGATCTTTCTTGATATCGTTAATACCTGGTTGTCAATAACACAGAAGACGACATTTACAATATCTCAAAGTATGTATAACGTGATACCAATAGCGGAGCTAGCTGTAGAATTCTCTGGAAAGAGTGGCACCTGCACAAGGCAAGCTTGAAGGTTCTGTCAAACTACATTAGTGATGGGTGTTACCTTGTAGAATCGAAAGGTGCAGCTTTGTTTTTGCAAAGCATTAGCAACCTGTGTCAGGACGCAGATGGCCGAAAGCAATGTTTGGTGCTCCTGTTGGGAGATGGAGCAACGTGCTGCAATTAGAAAAACCCGTGATGGCGAGTCCGACGAGGCTGAAGATAATCTTGCTGTAACACAGCTTTCTTCTAATATTTTCACGGACGTCGCTGAGCGAGCGCGTACATGGCCAAATGGTTGCTGCACTTGATTGTAGCGCAGAAGATTTGGGTTTGATTCCAGGCAGCGGAATGTTCTTTTATTTATTCTTTCTACTTGGCGTTCTCGCAAATTCGAGAAATTGCTTGTCTGGCCGAGCTACGAATAATCTACGCACCGAAATGTCTAGGCCGAATGTTCCAGAGACCCACGCAGTTACAAAAGGGACTCCGCATGGCGAGCGAAGTCAGACTCTTCCCAGCGCTCAATCCTGCTGTTTTGACGCCTGCGACGCTAGCCTTTCTCGATTTTGTTTTGGGCACAAGTTCGCCCCATTAAACGTTTAGTTTCTTCAGTTATTCGCCGCCTCACCATTTGTTATTCGTGACAATATAGCCATGCACGCAGACATGAAAGCCACAACAGAAAAACGCAATTGGGGTCGAGACACCCTGCCGTAGACCCCGTGCTCAACAGTGCGGTCTATTTTCCGTGATGTGCTCTGCCATCTCTCAACACGAGAACGAAACACAACCCTCGGCTGTCAACATCAGCATTCATAACTGAAAATCTTGCATATATTCTTCCGATTTTTCGCACAAACAAATTAGTGCCTTTAACTTTCACATGGTAACATCCACCACTGCAATACACCTGTGACAAAATATGAAGCTTGCTACATCCAGACTAATTTTTTGCTTCATTTTATAGCAAACCCCGCTACTGTGGCAACCTACATTTTGGGATCTGTTTTGTTTCATCGACAGACATCTCATCGACAACTTTTAATCAAACGACATATTGACATACATTTCGTCGACACCAGGGGCGGATGCAGGAATTTCCTGAGGGGGGGGTCAGGTGTCGGTCAGCGTACCATATGTTTAGGGACCCCCTCCCCCTCTCCTTCGTTTTACGCCCTAAAATTTACACAAGCAGAAATCAAGAGGGGGGTCAGGACATCCGGAACCCCCCTCTAAATCCGCCCCTGGTCGACACTGACATGCCATCGACAATCGTTACGCTAACTGTACGATGTTGTGATGTTTCGTTGTGTGTGTCACTGGGGCATGCATTAAAGGGGCACTGACACCCCAAAGGTCGTATTTATTTTTATTGTCTAAAACGATGCAAGTTGCAGTCATAGACACGCAAAAAAAACCGCATCGCGAAAAAAAATCTTCCCGCGCGCGCGCGCGCCTTTTTATTTTTGGCGTTTGATTTTCCCGCCTCTCGCCTCCTCGCTTCTTTTGATCGGTGACGTCAAAAATCAGGAAATTTAGAATCTTTGTAGGCGACATCTCTATAGCATTTAATAACGGCAATCGTAAAACATGTTTTTTAACGCAATTGCAAACGCACTACGGCCCTTCTTTTTGAAATACCAAAAATCGGGAAATCGTTTTGGTGCCGTCTCCTGGATTTGTATCCTCCAACGGAAAACAGGCGACACCGCTCAAAACCGGTCCGCCGCAACGCCGCCGCCCACTCCTTTCCTCCTCGCTTTGGGTCGCCATGGCAACAGCAGGGAGTGGTGAAAGAAAGTCGACTCTCAGGTCTCCGCAGTTTTTGACGTCAAGGCACCGCGCCGATCGCGCGGGAACTTCGAAATCGGCATTTGGAAATTGTTTTTTTACTTCACAAATACTGAATTTCCAAGTTTTTAATTTTGAGGGTAATGTCCCGGCATCGTTTTCAATCGTTTCGGATAATAAAAAAAAATATGATTTTGATGTGTCAGCGCCCCTTTAACTTACCCGGCCCGCCCGTCTACGTCATTTGCAGCGACCAACTGTGGTGGCTCACTACAGAAATATTAACACACCAGGCCTGTCGTAGCCGTTGTTCGGGTATAACAAGAACAGTTTATTGCGGGTTAAAGGCAATACGTGTAGTCGCGACATACAGCCATGTCCTCGCATGGTTGCGCCGTTCTCCCCCGTCTGCTGGCCTCCCGGAGCGAAAGTACTCCGCGCATAGGCGCGTTGCGGCGCTGCAGTCGGTGGTCGCTCGCAATGCCATTCACGACACCCCCCTTTCTTAGGATTAGGGAGCCGAGAAGTCCAACCTGTCTGGTGGTCTGCTTGGTCATTGACCGCCGTTGGCTGCATGTGACTCCCGGTGCCAGAGGCTCCGGAAGTCTTTCTTTAGAGGGGGGGCTCGACATCTCCGAAATCCTCAAGGTTAGGTTGGTTTCAGGTTGACATTAATTGCCACATTTGAATGAAAACATATTAATGCACCGCGTTCGCATATTCACGGACATATCCATGGAAAACAAATTAAAACAATGGTTCAGTAAAATAACAGTAAGAAGCTTGCACTGACAACTCATACAATGATTGGATAACCACTGAAATCAGCCGCACCATGTGTTCTTTATTTTTTCTTTCCTATACCAACTGTTACATGTCAACCGCAGCTGTGCCTATGCCAAATTGGCTATGTCTAAGAATGAAAACCTTCCTTCATTTAGGGATTCTCGGGGAAGCATGATGTATTAACGCAGACGTAGACAAACAAGTGCTAAAAGTTTTAGACAAAACCCCGAGACTCGGGGGGAAAAAAGGACAACACAACACGGAGTCTCAAACACAGCAAGTTGGGCCATCGGATGTCTTAACTGGAAGCAGAGGTTGCATACATCGGTATGTACCTCAGGATCAAGTACATCGACCGTGATCGCTTCGGACTCCTGGCGTCAATACAAGTTGGGGGGGCATCACAAAAGGAGGGTACTGAAGGATAAGAGCTGTGTTTCAGACTTCGTGTTGTGTTGTCCTGAGTTTGTAAACATGTGTCGCCTCATGCCTCACCACCCTGCGGGCACGACGCCGCATGCGCGCAAAGCTTTCGCCATCGAAGGCGCCTTGTCAAATTTGGGAGCTCGTAGACTTTCGCCTTTTCTAAGCACTCCCGAATCCCCACTCAAGCTCACCAGCCCCCCCCCCCCCCTCTCCTAATGATGGCCTTTAAGCGCCGCGGTAGTACCGCCTGCCTGTTTTGTCCGCGGGCCAGAAGCACCATGCATCTTCTGGGCCTCTTGCTTCCACACGGGGGAAGCAGACAAACGCTCGCCGACGTCGTCTTGTCGGAATCCATTCCTTTTGCTGTCTCCTCTTTGCTCGCTTTAAACTGGTTGTCAATCAGGCTCATGAGTCCTGCCTGTCATTTTCTTCTGGTTTTGACTTTTCAAGCAAGCCTCTCCGTCGCCCCGGTGCTTTTTGTGCTTGGCGGAGGTGAGGAGAGCGGTAGGTCAGCATGCATAAAGAGTCATTTCATTTATTTCGGCTCAGGAGAGACGGAGGTACAGCAGATAGGCCGAAGGCCCATACCAGATAACCTGCAAACACACAAACTAAAAAAAAAAAAAAAAAACGAGGGAGGGGGAGGGGGGGCTCGGCAGCTCGGTCCTGAGGACAGGAGGGGCTCAAGCCCACCCTGCCCCCCCGCTTCCGGAGCCCCTGCCCGGTGCGTCGTGTTAGTCCTGTCGATGTGCTTACAATATAGGACCTTGGTTGGGCTGCTGGCCGTGTCACTGTACCGCAGGATGCCGGACCACTCCGTTGCTTTTTCCACCTTCTTGATGACTCCCATTTCTTTCATCCTTTCCAATTCATTCTCCACTTGTGAGAGCGGTGGAAGAGGAACTCGCCTTGGGTATGTAACGGCATAGGGCTTGGCGTCATCCTCACGACAAGGCCCACCCACTGATCTCCACTAGAGAGGGCTGGATGTATGCGCATTGAGCAAACAAGTATGAAGCCACCGGAGGTGAGCGGCTTGTCCCGGAAGTGAGTGCTTGGCAGGCTTTGTAACCCTTCCGAGTGCTGGTTCGAAAAGCGTTGAGGGCGCTGGATTTTCGCTTGTTCCCGCAAGAGAGCCTGCTTGTTGCACAGTAAGAGTGCATGTGGACCCGAGAAGTATCATGGAAGCCATTCAATGTAAACATTTTGAGATTCTAGTTGATCAAGTTGTGAATATGTCTCAAGTTCAAATGCCTCATTCTCGGGATTTAATCCAGAACGGGAGTATTAAAACCCAATCAAAGAAACAAAAAAGCATGGTCCAAAATATTGACTGAATGCACTAGGAAGCTTCCGGGACAAGAATCAAACTTCCGGTGGCTTCACTTGCGCCAGGCTCGGAGAGCAGCTAAGCGCCATCCAGCCCCCTTTAGTAGAGATCAGTGGGCCCACCCACTCAAGCTGCTTCGCAGCAACATTCTGCGGGGAGTCACTACAGAAAAAAAGCTTATCCGAGCTGTCGATGTAACAAACTGTCGATGAAACGAACTGTCAATGAAACGTCGTTCAATGAACTGACTGCCCCCCATATTTCAGTATCAGGATTTCTCCTTCAAACAAAACATATTTAAAGATACTTTGTCACCCATTTTTTAGTCATACATATTTGAGTTGTTTTGCAATGCTCCTTTTATAAATGTATTTTAGTATCAGTACTTTAGCTGTCACTGCTGTGTATTCCAGTATTTGTCATTTCAAATGCTTTTTAGGTTATATCCGCCCAACCTTGTCACTCTCAATGAACAGCATTTCAGAGGTATTATGAATACCTGCTACCAATAACACGGAAGATGACATCTCGTCACAAGGGGCATGTCACATGTAACTCAAAAGGACAGTGCACCAGGGGTGAAATTTCCATGTACTTACGTCGGTCAACATTCACGATGGTAACGCCGAGGGCAACACCTTTTTGTACTAGTAGGCGGTTCAGGGACAGCCTCTCATCCTCCCTGGCATGCCCGAAAGGCCCACCTCGTGGCACCAACTTGAATACGAGCACGTAGCTCGTCAAGCCTTTGAGGGTGGTCACAAGCTCCTGAAAAGTGGAAAGGACATTGACTTATGCAGGAGACAAAGCAAAACTACCGTAAAATCCCGTAAGGATGTCCAACCAAAATGAAGAGATAAATTGGGAAAAACATGGGGTGGGCTATCTTTGGGAATGCGACAGCAAAAATTTATTTTAAAAAACGCGATAAGCAACTGGGCTATCCGCTACAAACCACATAAAACGGGAACTGATACCGCGAATTGCGGACACGGCATATTTGCGTTTTATGATGCGATAAACACGCAAGACTCTGCTACGACATCCTGTGTCATGGTAAAAGGGGTTGAGGACGCAGCAGATTCGCTTAGCCGTGTTTTCACGATTCTAACGCGCAGGCTGATTTAGCTTTCAGAAGTTGGCCGGTTCTACCGCGCAGGTAAAATAATGAAGATTGAACACATACCTTAAAGACGGGTTTTATGAAACGAACGCCAACAAAAAATAAATGCCGTGTACTAGTCGCCGTTGTCACAGTGCGACGATGTTTCTTCGCTGTCCACAGAGGTGAGTGCGCGTCGTCGGCTTTGGGAGGGTCGTCTTCCGAGCACCGCTTTGCGAGCTCGTCGGGTCGCTGGGATTGCGAGGCCACGCAGTGCTACTCCGTCCGTTTTGCCATTACTCCCGTTGAAACGGTTCAAACCTGTGGTGCCTGTGGTTCAAACCTGTGGTTCTAACGGTTCAAACACGCCGCTCCGGCAACCTGAGCACCTGAGAACCGTTGAAAACAGCGAGGCCAGGATGGCGCCAGTGGGCAAGTCAATCATGATATAGGATAGTCGAGAAATAAACCAGTTAGCTGAGTTTGAGACGTCTCTTTTTGTGTCTGATCCTTCTACTAAAAAGTTTCCAATTTCTTCGACCACAGTCTCAGGCGTTATATGACATGATTATCATCATCATCATCACTACCATCCGAACGGATTCCCTACGAGCGGTTTTCCCTACACTGGCGTTGTCCCCAGATCTAGGCACGGGCAGATCTCTGGATCATAGAGTTATTATAATGTACACTAGAGGTTCAAGTGGCGCTAGTGTGCTGACGCAAATTGAAGCAGACAGCAACCAGTCGAAAATTGACTTCCGGTAATGCATTTCTATGGGAAAAAGTGAGTGCATTTTCTCCCTGCGCTCGATCATAAGAACAAATATCCCAAATAATTCGTACGTACTAGGTAGTTTGGAACATTTCTCAGTCAGGCCGACGAAAGAATTGGTCAGTTACGGCGTTTTTCTCTCGAATTCATCGCACTAAAAACAGTGCTAAAACGGCTTCGTACGTGTATTTATGTGCACTGTCGGACACTGTTAGTGCGAACGCGGCGTCGGCGATTTCCAGCATGGGGGCAAACGAACAAAGGACATCTGGAAAATCAAGAGCGGCGGCAAGAGCTACACAGCAACACCGGATCAGTAACTCGCAGTGCATGTACGATCAAAATAAATTGAAGGCCACGTAATCTATTCAATTTTAAATAAGTGAGTACCGCTTTACACTTTCTGTCCTGAGCGAAGCTGCGTGTTCTACGTTCAAAATATCACCCGCGCGCTAGACATCTTTGAGAACAAGTGCGCGATAAAAGCTGCCCGGCAGAAAAAATAATGCGAAGAGACACCTTTCATATCCCACGGACTTTATTCTCTACGTTGAAGGTTTTTATCCGCTCATGCACGACGGGATCATTTTCATATGGTGACAGGACTGGCATATTATCAATATACAAGCGTCACCGGAATGCTGGCGAGCCTTGAACACACTCTATATTCGTTTCGATCGTAATTTTGCTGTGAATCGCCGCTTGTTTTTACACACCTGCTGCGGCACACACGTTTGGGACTGAAATGCAGCGAAGTTAAACATCGCTCACTGATGAAGAAAAATGCGCTAACTAAAGCAATTACACTTTTACAATGTTAATTAAGACAAATACTATTCGGTACGACCGAAATAACCAAAGTGTTCCATGTTATTTTCCGGCGAAGAGACAAAATGCACGCGCGTTTTCCCATAGAAATGCACAGGAGCACCGCAAAAGTAGACTGGTTGCTGTCTGCTTCAATTTGCGTCACGGAAGTCGCATAGACACTAGCGCCAGTTGAACCTCTAGCGTACATTATAATAACTCTATGCTCTGGATAGGCGCTCGCTTTGCGCGAAGATGTCACTCCTTCGACGGGCGTCGGAGGAAGTGCGGCCAAAAGAAGGGCCGTAGTGCGTTCGCAATTGCGTTAAAAAACATGTTTTACGATTGCCGTTATTAAATGTTATAGAGATGTCGCCTACAAAGCTTCTAAATTTCCTGATTTTTGACGTCACCGATCAAAAGAAGCGAGGAGGCGAGAGGCGGGAAAATCAAACGCCAAAAATAAAAAGGCGCGCGCGGGAAAATTTTTTTTCGCGATGCGGTTTTTTTTGCGTGTCTATGACTGCAACTTGCATCGTTTTAGACAATAAAAATAAATACAACCTTTGGGGTGTCAGTGCCCCTTTAAGGCTCGACTATAGTGGACGTCCCTTTGAGAAAAAGGACGAGTCACGCTCATATAACTCCTCAATCATAACTGTGCCGTACGCTGCGTCATTTCCATGATGGTCAAACTACAGAGCTCTGAAAGTACTCCTAAAAATTATATTATAAGGTAGATATTTAAGCTAAAGCATAATTACGTCACAACTAGTTCACTTTTTAGCGGGCATGGGACATCGGCGCTTTTTCACATTTTAGTCTGGCTAGTATTGTGTGTAGACGCCAATTCAATGCAAATACCTGCACTTATCGACATAGCGTAGGGAATTGTAACCGAACGAAGTTAGTTGCTAAAGTTTGTTGCAATTTGAAAAAGTGTTACCAGTCACAGCTACTCAAGCAAAAAAGTAAGTTAGTTACAAAATTACGAGTAACATGTTAGTCACTTCCCTAAAGTAACGCCATTACTTCGTCGTTACTTCGCAAAACATGTTGGAAAACATTCAGAAGCAACCTTCCTTAATATGCCTTTAAATTAACATAGATATTTTATAAGACATTGTGTTGTTTACGGTATAGTGTATCTGATTATTTTGAGAAACTGACTTTCTTAATAATCAATATTAACATGTTTGGTTCTTCCTATTTAAATTTTTACCATGAATTATTCCTCGAACAAGATCATAATTTAATACAGTATTCAAGTAGATCCACTATATAAGAATTTATCATTTCTTCTTTGACAAAATTACAGGTGACTTTAGTTTTTCGAAATTTTAACAAAGCAGATACCTGCTGATGATCCATAAAGAACTTTAAAATAAGCGCTACCACCATGAAGTATACACGAATGCAAAAGCACGTCTAGATCTCAGGTACATCCAATCAAGGTGCGAATTTACAATCGGTCAATTATAATTGTGAATTTTTTTGGTGAGGCGAAGTGGGACGGAAGCAATACAAATCGTGCAAATGTGAAGTCAATAATATGTCATACCTTGCATAAATATCATCACATGTTGCAATCAGCTTTGTAGGTTTTCTTATGCCACTACAACCCACTCGATCATCAATCAAATTGTTTTCTACTGCATGCGCACAGTCTTTGATGAAACACGACGCTTCTCTTGAAAAATTGGAGAGCAACGTTGCAGCCACATTGCCCCGTCAAATTCGCTGAACACGGCAGTGGTGCACTTGGAATTCAACACTGTGTTAAGAATTCCAAATGGCATTTTCGATGTTATCTCTGCGACTTCCTAACCAGATCAAACATGTTTGTGCTCCTCCACCTCACCCCCCGAAATAGAAGAGACCATCCGGAGAGCCCATGACGTGAATATCTATAAATCAATCGATGCCAAATGTCCCTGGTCCAGGCTAAGGGCAGTCTTTCAATTTCAAGAAAACGCACAAACATGCAGGACGACACAGACGTTTCGAGCAAATGCTCTTTCTCAAGTGACGGGACCCAAGATAGGACCACAAGTGGGCAACGGGAGGCGAGGTTGGTAATTGGGTTGCAAAAAAAAGGGAGGGAGAAAATGGGCCCGAAGTCGAGACCCCATAAGAGTGCATCTGGGGAGCTGGGACGATTCAAATGAGAGGGGAAGAAAACGTATGCTTGGAGGCAAGAAGACAAGGTTCGGAAAGTCGGTTGTGCCGTAAGCCTGCGGGCATTTGGGGCGACAATCACAGAAAGCTGTCCTGTGAAAAAAGCAGGGTGTCGAACCGAAATTTTTATCGGTTCGGTTCCGGTTCGGGTTCACGGCTTTCGGTTCGGTTCCGGTTCAGTTCCGGGGAGCAAAAAATACCGGTTCAAACCGATTCGAACCGGTTTGAACCACTAAATTGAGAATATATTTTTTGCGTTGTACTGGCAATATACACTATTTACACAGTGAAGCGATTAACTATATAGTTTCTTCGATCGTCCGTGCAATTTACTTTTGTTTTTAGGTACCAAAAATATTATTTTCAGTTATTTAATTTGCACGTAAGAGTAGAAGAAAATCTACATTAACATACATAACGTCGTATTCATACATCCCTTTGTTTACGAGTAAAATATATTTTACCTGAATCGAAATGTTTAAGTACAAGAGTAAAAAGTTGAGCTTGTTGGTACATACCTGTAAATAGATCAGCTTCGAATTTAGAACTATACGGTCTTTTCTTGTCATTTCTTCGTGTTTAAGTAAAATTCTAAAGGCCCGTTCACACTCTTGCGACTGCTTGCGACCTCTTAGAGCTGGGTTCCTTAAAACTTCTTAAACCAGAGAACACACTGGCGCCATCTATTAGGAAGCAGTGTAAACTCGGCGGTCCGGCATATTTGTTTTTATTTCTCGCGCAATATCCTTTCTTTTTTGGCTCGAAAAACTTTTGTCAATGTTATAAACGAGTTTTTCTATGGGTATTACGCACATTTGACCTCGGAAATCCCGCAAAACCTTCGCTTTTGTGAAATGCAGTTCTAGGGTCACCGCATAGATGGCGCCACAATGTCAGTGTGTTCCCTCATTCTAGAAACATTTAAGAAGTTGTAAGAGATCTCGTCTCTCTCAGTCGTACTCGGTCGCAAGAGTGTGAACGGGCCTTAAAGTTCAAGCTGATCTATTTACACGGTATAAAATGTGGTCGCGAAGTAAGGTAGGTCGTCTGAAATACCCGTGATTGGTACAACTTTGTGTTGCAGTATTAAAAGTGAAACCGTGTCCTTGAACTAAGGAATTAATTACATCACATAAAATTATGAAATGAGCACCTCGTGGCCATATATATCATAAAATAAGGTTTACGAAATACACTTCACAATATATATGTATATGATGACGACCCTACTGAGCTAAAAGCAATGAAATTTTCAAAATATAACAAAAGTTTTAGGATAATTTCTTTCAGTCTACTTTTTATAGAAACACCGAGCGGCAATCCAAATACCTGTTGTTCTAACCAAACATTGTTTAGACTCAGCACCGCATGCATGCGACTAATCAGGCAGCAAGAAGTAATCGCAATTGTTCACTCTAATCTATACGCACCTTCGAACTCAGATCAAAGCTGGCCCAAAATAGTGCTTGCCCCTAGTGAACATTTCCTTTTACAGAATAAGCTGGCATAGCCTGCCTGTTGAGGCTTAAGCCTCAACAGGCAGGCCGGCATCTTGTCAAGAACAATTGTTCTTGACAAGATG